CTCTACATTGTAGTCGTACCAGATGCCATCTTCGTCGTCCCATAGAACATCCTCGATAGTGGTCCGCCATTGATTAGCAAGGTATGCCCAATGAGCGGCCTCTCGTCTGTTGCCCAATAATCCTTGGAAATACGCTATATTTTGTAAGGCATTTGCGAAAATCGAATTCAAATCTACGGGAATTATTTTTGTCGTATGAATAGTACTCAAGTTCCCATTGTTCTCGCCGTTGGGGCCAATGAACCAGCGGCTCGAGAAGTCCCAGCCGCTCTCGGCAGCGCTTTTGATGTCCATGTAGAATTCCTGCTGGCGCTCCTCGCTTTCGAATTGTTGAGCAAGCGTGTAATCTTCATGATATGACTCGGGCCTTGGTCCAGCGCTGGGAGCGCGATATTGCAGCAGAGTGTATGACTTGCCGTCCTTTTCGAAGGTGATCGTTTGTGTTTCGAGCCAATACTCCAACTCATATTGTAATACTTCACTATTAGCTTTAAGAAAAGCGAGGTCCTTCGTTCGTTGGATGTATAGTGATACCATAGCCGATAGTAGAGGAGGTTGGCTCCGCTGTTCATAGTATATTCTGCTTCCATTCGGTATGTGTCCTAGTTTCTTCAGCAGCTGAATGAGGTTCTCTATCATGCCGCGCGCCGTGTCCTCCATTCCACAAATAAGAAGACCCTCAACGATCCAATACGCGTCCCAGTAGTATATTTCGCTGAATCTCCCTCCGGGTATGATAAAGCCATTCGATATAGGTATGAAGCTGTAAAGGTCTGGCTTCTCAAAGACTATCGGTTTCACCTTCCTTCCGAGGGTCGGCCAAATGCTATTAATATCTTGGGCAAATTTCCTTAGAGTTTTATCTCTGATTTCGGCCAAAAACGGTGGATTATCGTTGTGATCCGTAGGTTTCCACATTTCAAGTTCGTTTCCTGACTGGAAATGATCATCGACGAATTTTTTTATCTGTTCCTTGGATGGATTCCTGTTGGTTTTCTCCAATAGCTCGTTAAAGTCGGCTAGAGTCGTGTTTTCATCTTTTTGAAGGTGCAAATCAACGAATGTTTTAGAATCGGTAAAGATCCTTGATGTCTGGACATAGTGCAGCAGGTCGCTGTTGCAATAGACTGGTCTACTGCAAGATGGCGGCAGTTCGTCAGCTCGTATGAGAGTTGCTAGCGCTATTATCGTTGGCACCAGCATCTGAA